TTCAATGTTTCAAAGTATCAGGCATGTACATTTAGCCAAATTCTGTATCCTGGACTACTTGTCAGGTTTCGCGTCATCCTACCAAAGCATTTTCAATCCCTTTACTGTTGTTAAGGTTTTACAGTCGCTAATGTGTTGAGCCTGGACTGCCAAAAACTGTCATTACCTATCACGTATTTGTTATATATGCTCAGAAGGTATATACCGATTGGCACTTACAGAAAGGAGTTTCTTGTATGCTGAGAACCATTGGTAATATACGTGACCAAATCAAACTGCGTGATACATTTTACAATTTCAACGCTGATACCGTCTGGCAACTAGACACAGAAAACCGTTATGTCTGGCCAGGAAATATCGCATTTCAAGACTGACTGAGTGAAATGGAGTCAGGCCAGACCGTCCTCTCTTGTACATCCCTCTTTCTCGTCCATATTTGTTGACGTCTGGTCTCTTGGAACCTTCATTTTTAATAACGTTTTAACGGACATATCTGTTTGGACATAGTGCAACAAGGCCCGGCTCGCAAACTCAATCTCTGCTTCAAGATTCACATGTTACAATGTTGGAACGATCTCTGGCTTCTGCCCAGCTTTGTAAAAATCGACTCCAGACATTCCCCCCCCCCCCCCCACCCCGCCCGTTTCCCTGTTCGAAAGCTTTTGAGATATGGAACTGGTTATGATTTCTTATAAATATAACATTTGTTTTATGAATTATTTCACTAATGATTTTCAACAACATACGTTCTGAAGTGCCAAGGGATATGTATATCTCCGTCGTCCTGCTACTGCTACTACTACTAATACTACTACTACTACTACTACTACTACTACTACTACTACTACTACTACTACTACTACTACTACTACTACTACTACTACTACTACTACTACTACTACTACTACCACTACTATTACTACTACTATCACTACTAATACTACCACCACCACCACTATTACTACTGATACTTCTACTACACTACTACCATTACAGTACTACTATTACTACTACTACTACTACTATTGCTACTACTACTACTGCTACTGCTGCTGCTGCTGCTGCTACTACTACTACCACCACCACCGCCACTAACTACTACCCATTACTACCATTGTTACTTCTGCTACGCTACTACTTGTACAGTGCTGCTACTATAAAAAAATAATACCACTACTACTAAAAGTCCTGACAAGCCGGAAGCGTTTCTTTAGACTAATTATCTACGAATAATTGCCAGTGCACTGAAGAAAACAATGATATATTATCCTACAGGTCTTATCGCTGTAGCAATATAATAGGTTACTGTTTGTGAACACTTTTGAGCCTATTAGTATACAATATCCTTCTAATCACTTTCTCTTGTGGAATCTCTTGTGACTTAAAGCGGAAAGTGTGTTTCCTGCTAACCCCGGTTGAGATGGACCGGTCTGGTGTAAAATCTGATGTTCACCTATACATATTCTGCCGACATTTCTCGCTCCATCAACGGATTATATATATATATATATATATATATATATATATATATATATATATATATATATTTCAGAATGAAGATCCATAGAGCAGTAGGTCAGACATGCTGAGTGCTGGCCAGGTTTTTGTTTAAGTATCGATCCAAGTTGGGGAAATTCTTGTCCAGACGACTTATGAATTCTGGCCATTTGCAAGATTGGGTCATTTGTTTGCTAGCCCTATTCTTAAAAAAAAAAAAATCAAAAAAAAAAAAAAAAAAAAGATTGCCAAAAATAGGGAAGAGAAAAGTAGACAATGGTAAGAGAAACATAAAGTTTATGTAGGCTTTACAAAACCGTTTCCAATAAACAGAGGACTTTGCGGTGATTACATCAGCAGAACAACGACAAGAAAGAAAACACAACACATAAAACTAAACTGATTGTAATGTTTCCATTACAGTGTTGAAATCGTGTGTAAACAAATAAAACTATATACTAATAAACGACAAAACTGTTTAAAGTACGTAATACTTACATGATACCTGTCTGAAGCAAGTTAACGGAATTTAAATGTCTTGGAAGTATATTCTCGGAGGATGGAAGAATAGATGGGGTAATAGAAAAAAGATGCCAACGAGTCAGTGCACTATATACTAACTGACACCGTTATCAAGACATCCAAACATTAGTATGAGCGCCAGCAAACAGATTATACACATCATATTCATATTAACACTGTGCTACCAGTGCCAGACTTGGACATTATCAAAGACTAACCTGCGTAAAATTAACACATGAGAAAAGCCGTCAACTTAACCACCCAAAACCAAATTAGAAATGATATTATCGGACAGACTGTATGAACGCCCCTGGAACTATGTCGGCCACGCCCTTAGAATGGATAAATCAAGACTTCCTTACCAAGCCCTCATTTGGACACCACAGGGGAAAAGATCTCGTGGAAGACCAAGGGAAACTCTACGTAGAACTATCATCAGGGAAGGCTCGCTCATGGGCCACTCAAACATCCAAGACCTACAACAGATTGCAACGAACCGCCATGCATGGAGAGTCATGACCTCTGCCCTATGTGCCGCACTCGACACAAGAGGAAAGACTAACTAACTAACTGTATGAACAACACCATGCAGCAAATTCATTGAGAAACAGAAGACCAAATGGTTTGGTGATTTAGTAAGAATGCAGCCAGAACAACTACCAGGGCAGGCTGTACACAGGAAAGCATCTGAAGTGAAAGCAAGAGGCCTTCATATGAGATAATGGATTGATGACATTAGGGAGCTTCTATGTCGATACGGAATGACACCAGCCATTGCTGCCAATTAAGCGATGGATCGCAAACTGTTCCTCCCAACAACGCTTAACGGCAAAATTGGAAACTGATGGTGATAAATACTTACCTGGACTGTTCTGAACTGTATAAAACCCGAAATGAAGCAGGTATAGTTTCTATAGAGGAGCGAGGATGCAAAAAAAGGATGGAGGGGGTGGGGGGGTGAGAAAGGGGGTTACCAAACATGGCAGTCGTGGGGAAAGGGGACAGAAAGGAAAACTGCAGAAATGTGACTAAGTGTACACTTGTTCCAAAAACAGGGTTTAGCCTAATCATTTGGAGGGAACAGGATTGAATTCCAGTGTGTTAATAACAACGTTAAATTAAGTTGATATTTCTTGAGGTGTGAGTCCAATCACATTGTCGTTCCCCGACTTTGCTACTCATAAGTGTGTAACTCGCAGAGCTGGGCCTGTACTGCTTTTCATTGTTTTATCACATAATGTCTTCTCTAATGTGTATTTTCTTCTTCTACTTCTTTTTCTTCAATGAGCGCCGATCAATATTTCTGAATGTTTTTCTCGCGAGATAACAATGGACTCAAGTGTGAACTAACAGCTGACATGTCTGTGTATTAGGTTTAAAACTGGAGCAGTTAAGAATCAAGGAAGCTACTCAGGGCGAGTCGTGCAAAAATCAAAGCCGGGTTATATTCACTTGGAGGTTATATCCTTCGAAGTCGGAGTGCATCTGCCTGAGGGGCAAGAAACAACCAACTTCACACAAATAAACCAGTAAAACGGACGTGCACTACACACTCAGGCCCTGGCACATAGACGAAGTCAAAATAGACGAATAACCAGGACTTTCCGCAGGAGTTTACAACCGGTGAGCAAAGAAGAATAAACCTAAATAAATTACTTTCTATTGATCCTTGATTTGTCTAGTATGCCCCCTTGTCAGTGAGCGATGTGCTGCTTGATGTAAAAGCGGGCCAACTCTGTGGTCAGGCGTGTACTTGCAGAGATCACCATATCTGAGATCAAGGTGGCTCGTGCTGTCTCCCCAGCACCCTGACCTTGTATACTTTGAATAATGTTGATTAGTTAGTTAGTCGACAGATTATCCTCATTGCACGCTAAACCACTCAATCCATAAGTGTTCAGATCCCCTCCTCAGTAAAACCCCGCAGCGTGTAGCGGCTGACGACACCAGTTATGTGTTTGTTTATTCTTCTTCTTTGGCTACTCGCGTAGTGTTCTTGATTGGCGACACCGCGTTTAACTTTCTGCTTTTGCGGTCTGATCAAGGTTGCATATTCACAGTTCTCGACTGTTTCATGCGAGCGTCTTAAATCTCGTAGAGCATTCGGTATATCAGCTTGGTCCATGGCTTGTCCGGCTTTCACACTAGCCCTACCTGCAGGTCTATCAGAATGAATAATTTTAAAACTAGTTATCTCCCGATTATTATAAAAGAATGATGCGAATACTCTGGGGGAAAAAAGAGTGATGAAGATCTCCTGAAAGAAACTGACACGGAGGTAACTGATTGCCCACAGCAGAAGGATATATATATATGTATATAGATTCTTTGGTCAGGTTTTGAGAAGGAGGAAACTGGAGAACACTGTGATGGTGGGAAAGTTGGAGGGAAGGAAAGGCAGAGGAAGACCGAAAGAGACGATGTTGGACAGTTTGAGATCAAGGCATGAAAGATCTGTGTCAGAATTGATTGAAAGTAGACGAGACAGAATTTATGGATACAAATTACTACCAACGCCATATGGTATATACTTTTAAGATTAAAGAGTTCATCACCCAATGAGAGGCGGCATCCTTTGCTTAGGCGTTGCAAGTCTGACTCGTAATTCTATCATGCCGCGATCGAAACCCACTGCTGGCTGCGTGGATTGTTATTATGGTATAGGGCGTCGCAGGTCGACCCAGCCTAAAATGGGTACCAGGAGGTATGTCTTGCGGAATTAAAGACGGCCGGCCTAATGCTGGCCACATTACAAACGTAGTCCCGATTGGTCTGTAAAAATATGGGACGCTCTGCCCATATGCCCGATGCGCCGAAAGGCGTGAAAAGGGATCTTTTTCAGAATAAGTAAGATCTGAAAACAGATTTGCACGCAAACTCAGCTTCTGGAACACTACATCACAGCGAAGATTACAGTTTGTCTATCATACTCTTTCTTCGTTCTCAATGGTTCCTGTATGTTTGATTCTGTGTTTCTGCAGGATGTGGTCCACTCGCTTCAAGAAAAGCTAAACATTACGTGTACTCATCACTTTAGTTTGGTTCTGCAAAATATGAAAAGTAACGTACCTGGCAAGATGACGTTGCTACAAGATCACGAAAACTTGGCAGAGGTGAGCAGACATTAGTCTTATTATATATGTGGCAGAGGTGAGCAGACATTTGTCTTATTATATATGTGACAGAGGTGAGCAGAAATGTGTTTTAGGTGTATATGTGGCAGAGGTGAGCAGACATTAGTCTTATTATATATGTGGCAGAGGGGAGCAGACATTTGTCTTATTATATATGTGGCAGAGGGGAGCAGACATTTGTCTTATTATATATGTGGCAGAGGTGAGCAGACATTTGTCTTATTATATATGTGGCAGAGGTGAGCAGACATTTGTCTTATTATATATGTGGCAGAGGTAAGCGGACATTTGTCTTACATATATATGTGGCAGCGGAAAGCGGACATTTGTCTTATTGTATATGTCGTAGAGGTGAGCAGACATTTGTCTTATGTATTTATGTGACAGAGGTGAGTAGACATTTGTCTTATGTATATATGTGGCAGAGGTGGACAGAAATGTGTTTTAAGTGTATATGTGGCAGAGGGGAGCAATTTGTTTTATGTGTATATGTGGCAGAGAGGAGCAATTTGTTTTATGTGTATATGTGGCAGAGGGGAGCAATTTGTTTTATTGTGTATGTGGCAGAGGGGAGCAATTTGTTTTATGTGTATATGTGGCAGAGGGGAGCAATTTGTTTTATTGTGTATGTGGCAGAGTGGAGCTATTTGTTTTATGTGTATATGTGGCAGAGGGGAGCAATTTGTTTTATTGTGTATGTGGCAGAGGGGAGCAGACATTTGTCTTTTGTATATATGTGGCAGAGGGGAGCAGACATTTGTCTTATGTATATATGTGGCAGAGGGGAGCAGACATTTGTCTTATGTATTTATGTGACAGAGGTGAGTAGACATTTGTCTTATGTATATATGTGGCAGAGGTGGACAGAAATGTGTTTTAAGTGTATATGTGGCAGAGGGGAGCAATTTGTTTTATGTGTATATGTGGCAGAGGGGAGCAATTTGTTTTATGTGTATATGTGGCAGAGGGGAGCAATTTGTTTTATTGTGTATGTGGCAGAGGGGAGCAATTTGTTTTATGTGTATATGTGGCAGAGGGGAGCAATTTGTTTTATTGTGTATGTGGCAGAGGGGAGCAATTTGTTTTATGTGTATATGTGGCAGAGAGGAGCACTTTGTTTTATTGTGTATGTGGCAGAGGGGAGCAATTTGTTTTATGTGTATATGTGGCAGAGGGGAGCAATATGTTTTATTGTGTGTGTGGCAGAGAGGAGCAGACATTTGTCTTTTGTATATATGTGACAGAGGTGAGTAGACATTTGTCTTATGTATATATGTGGCAGAGGTGGACAGAAATGTGTTTTAAGTGTATATGTGGCAGAAGGGAGCAATTTGTTTTATGTGTATATGTGGCAGAGAGGAGCAATTTGTTTTATGTGTATATGTGGCAGAGGGGAGCAATTTGTTTTATTGTGTATGTGGCAGAGGGGAGCAATTTGTTTTATGTGTATATGTGGCAGAGGGGAGCAATTTGTTTTATTGTGTATGTGGCAGAGTGGAGCTATTTGTTTTATGTGTATATGTGGCAGAGGGGAGCAATTTGTTTTATTGTGTATGTGGCAGAGGGGAGCAGACATTTGTCTTTTGTATATATGTGGCAGAGGGGAGCAGACATTTGTCTTATGTATTTATGTGACAGAGGTGAGTAGACATTTGTCTTATGTATATATGTGGCAGAGGTGGACAGAAATGTGTTTTAAGTGTATATGTGGCAGAGGGGAGCAATTTGTTTTATGTGTATATGTGGCAGAGAGGAGCAATTTGTTTTATGTGTATATGTGGCAGAGGGGAGCAATTTGTTTTATTGTGTATGTGGCAGAGGGGAGCAATTTGTTTTATGTGTATATGTGGCAGAGAGGAGCAATTTGTTTTATTGTGTGTGTGGCAGAGGGGAGCAGTCATTTGTCTTTTGAATATATGTGGCAGAGGGGAGCAGACATTTGTCTTATGTATATATGTGGCAGAGGGGAGCAGACATTTGTCTTTTGAATATATGTGGCAGAGGGGAGCAATTTGTTTTATGTGTATATGTGACAGAGAGGAGCAATTTGTTTTATTGTGTGTGTGGCAGAGGTGAGCAATTTGTTTTATTGTGTGTGTGGCAGAGGGGAGCAGACATTTGTCTTATGTATATATGTGGCAGAGGGGAGCAGACATTTGTCTTATGTATATATGTGGTTGCTGTGAGCAGACATTTGTCTTATGTATATATGTGGCAGAGGTGAGCACACATTTGTCTTATGTATATATCCACCTATACTGGTCTACAGGTTACACTGTAACCGTTTTATGGTGACCTAGTATAACTGTGTTACACGGCTATACGGTTGAACGGGATTTCTTAGATTTGTACCTGTGTGATTCTCATCCTTGAGATGTTAAGCCTACAGAATGCAAATGTGGAGGGGTAACGCTTTCTTATTGTATATATTTTGCAGGGATGGTGAATCCTGGGTGTTCAGATACCCGAAGCCGTGCCTAGAAAAATATTAAGCGACTGAGCACCCTCTTTCCCCACATTTTTCCAAGGTTAAGCTACCCCTCCTCTCCCACCCCCTGTATGTATAGAAGTTATTATTTTTTTCCCCCCAAATTTACACATGGAGGTCAACTAATGCTAGCAGAAATGGGACGTGTCTTCCAAAAGATGCAAGTATAGCAGCTGTGATGTAAACGGGCACAACGCAGTTATATCTCTCGATGGGCGCAGAAGAAGAAGATATCCGCATAATGCAAAGTCAACCGCCGCTTTTCTGGTTGTTTATGATTTTATTGGTCAGTTTTACGTCAGTATCTACCATTGCTCCCCGAACTAAACGGTCGACTCTCGGTACTGTTTTTGACACCAACGCCAAGCGTTGAAATGTGAAGGTGGGATTTGAGTTCACGTTGTATTGTTCTGAATTCGAAGATCTTCATCCACTTATTTCTCTGTCCTATTGATTTGAGCTCTCCTACATCCCTCTGTATTCCTCATTATTTTTTATACAGTCATTGTCAGAGATTTAGTTTTGTCCAGGAGAAACCTTTAAGAACAAATTCCTACGACTAATCTTTGGACAAATCGAAAATCCAAATAGCTGAGAATGGATAGTCAGAGGCCACAACCAAATGTATAATCTTTTTAAATCACCACTAACTACTGACATGAGGGCTGAAATGGTTGGCGTGAGTACAACTCACGTTTTCGGGACCAGGATGAGAGTGACTTCCCTTGCCATTCATGCGTCGTAAGCCCGCAGGACCTCTCATATATTGCGGAGGTGTCATGTTTACATTTCTGTCAACGCTTTAACCATTACCCTGTTTTCTGGTCTTCTCTGCGCTCGCTTAGGCGATTATTTTCACATTCTGCTACCTACGCGACAGTGCGGCAGTATGGAAACAGCGATGTCTTTTTATTCCTACGTTCCTTCTAAGTGCTGTCTTCCTCTCCGCGGGAAGCCACCGTTAACGAACGTAGAAAAACAAAAATATCCCAGCTTCGATTCTGAAGCATCGTCGCGCCTACGGCGCTTCCCCTGAAAGTATTTCTTACTCATTGACAGGCGCCTGCGGCGCCTGAAATAGACTGACGACAGCACAACCTCCCAAAAACATTATATAGGTTGAGTGAACCCCAAACCAAGCCATATTGTAACACCCACGCAACGAACGAGAGGTCCTGTCACGTTACGCGGCATGAATGGCAGGTGAAGTCACTCTTATCCTGAGCCAGAGTTCGTTACCACAACCTTGAAGTGTATAAATAAATTTAAGGGTTAAAGTAGAGAGGAAAGATTTTATTGCATTGGGTTTTATCCCATATTGCTGGGCCCCTCTCCGCAGACCTGCTAGCAGCTCACGTAGAGAATTAGAAAAAGCATGAACACCGTAGTCCCGGTGACGATCCCTGTGGTCTCAGTAAAAAATTCCTACTTGTGAACCGAACGGCGCAGCCGTGAATCAAACCCACGACTTTCAGAACACAAGTCAAAGGGCTTGATTGGCTCGCCACGGAGATCCCATAATATACAGCCATATAGAGGGAATGTCAGACACCAGAGAGACCAAAACGGCATACTGCACGATAGAAGAACTGAAGAGGGTTAGGATGGATAGATAATACACAAGCAGACTTACATACACTTGGAGTCTCCACATTTTTTAGGTTTGTCTTCTTGTTCTCTTCTTAGTCTTCACCGGCTGTAAACTCCGGTAGAAAGTTCCTGTTTCCTTTACCACGTCTGGACTTTAGTTTTTGTTTCAGAACTTGAGTTTTGCGTGCAATCCGTTTTACAAGTCTAGCGTATTTGTGTTCAGACAGTTGGTTTTTCGCCTAACAGGTAGGTACACTTCGACTTTAAAGAAAAACACCCCCGTTCCGTTGTCTTTTACGACATGCTTCAATGGGTCAATGCGTCGGCCCCTCCCCCCCCCCCCCCACCCACAGAAGGAACCTTGTAACCCACACGGGAAACTGGGTGTGAACAAGACCGTCGGTACTATACTATCGATGGTCTTGGTGTGAATGTTATCTGAATATTTAAAGTGTTCTTTACTTTTACTTATTGTATGGTGTTCCATTTAGTCATATATGACATTTTATATTCATTTTTTCCAGCTGGCTGCTAGGCCAGGTGCTCGTCACTTTCGGTGCCTCTTCAGGGTGGCATTTGTCCCCCTTGATGCATACGATTTGTTGAAGGAGGACCCTGTGGCTTTTGAGTATTTTTATATGCAGGTTTGTTATTGATTAGCGTTATGCATGTCTTACAGGTTCGTTTTGTTTGGGTGTGTGTTCACGTGTGTGTATATGTGGGGGGGGGGGGAAGAATAACAAATAACGGGCTCAAAAGATGGCGGCCGAAAAAACACCCTAACTGAGCCTCAGTCACGTGTCAATTGCGCACTTCCGGCGACCTAATTTGCGGTTTCCAGCAACTACCGCCACAGCGAGAGTATCCCCCACGCCGCTCACGCCGCATGCATTTGGGCTAAACTAGATGGCTTGGACTCACGAGCAGCAGCTTCCGCATCTCCTGCAGCTTTGCTCGTGAGTCCTAGCCATCTAATTTAGATCCAATCCACGGCGCGTGAGTGGCGTGGGGGATACTCTCGCGGTGGCGGTAGTTGCAGGAAAACCGCAAATTAGGTCACCGGAAGTGCGCAGTTGACACATGACTGAGGCCCTGTTTTTGGCCGCCATATTTTGTACCCGTTATTCGGAAGATAGCCCAGGTTTGTTAACAGTTAGCTTCAAGTGTGTCTTTCAAATTTGTTCTGTGTGGGTGTGTTTGTGTATGTGTGAGTGTGTGCGCACGGGTCAGCTTGTGCATGTGTGTGCATCTGATCTTTAGAAAGAGGACCCAAAAACTTTTGAGTAATTGTATATGCAGGCTTTTCATCTATACCTTCATATATACATAAATATATGTGTGTATGTGTGTGCATGCGCGCGTATGTGTGTTTTTATGCATGCACCTTTAAATGTACATGTGTATGTGTCTGTTTGTTAATGAACATAAATTTGTTTATGTTTTTGTGTATGATCTGCTGAGACACATTTTGTTTTGTATGAACTTATGCATGCTTATATAAACTGTTAAAGATCGATCCAATCACTTTTGAGTAGTTATGTATGCAGGTTTGTTATCTATAATTTTAAGTAGGTCGTAAACAAGAAGCAAGAGATGGGTGTAACGAATGAAATAGATAATATAGAAACAAAATATGACATTAACACGAGCAGCGCAACTAGTAAAAGACAGATTAGACAAGCTATGAGGAACCATGCAAGTTACATGCACGTTCATAGAGCCAACCCACTTGACGGTCTAACCTGAGCATGCGAAACTGAACGCAAAGAAGAAGAAAAAGAAGAAGAAGTAAAAGACAGGAATGTACATATAACTCCTCTCTTGCGATGCTTTACAGCATAAGCATCATCATCATCAGGTGTCTTGACAACTGGCGTGGGCGATCATGCCTCTCCATAATCTGTGAGTTCCTGCAGCATGTATCAGTTCGTGTGCCGACACACCTCCATGCCATGCAACAAGACTGTCAAGCATCCTCTCTCGTTGTCTACCTCTATCTCTCCTTCCACATATCTTTCCAGTGGTCACAACATGTTCTATTTTTCCTCTTCTCATAACATGGCCGAAAAAGGATGACTGTCTCCTTCTGATGTCTGTGATTAGTTGTCTTCGGGCTCCCGCCTCTTTCAAAACCTCTTGGTTGCTTTTTTTGGCTGTCCAAGGTATTCTAAGCATTCTTCTGTAAAACCACATCTCTCAGGCCTCTAGAAATTGTTTGGCCTGCCTACCGATTGCCCAGGATTTACAGCCATATGTTAAAACTGGATGTATGTAGCAAGCAAGAATTCTTTTTCTAACTCTCAATGACAAGGATATATTGCACAAGATATTCTGCGTTTTAAAAAATGCAGTTTTTGCCTGTCCTATTTTGTTTCTTATCTCAGTTATGTATCTTCCATCTGATGTTATCCATGTGCCCAGATACTTAACATTCTGTACTTGTCCTAAAATAACTGTATAGGCAGTTAAACAAAAGAAGAAGAAGATTATTAATTTGTTTTGTTTAAGTAGGTGTACAAATATATTTCAAATATTATTTGCATAATTACTTTTGTGTCCATATTTCATACTAGACAGTTACCTTATTGTAAAGCTGGCATGTAGAAACAAAAATATTCTTATTTCAAATGATTCCCTGTATGGGTTTCGATGCTCTATTCTGAAAAACAAAGAAAAAACCCACTGTCCCCCCCCCCCCCCCGCCTTTTTTTTCAGTAAGCGTGTCATAAGAGGCAACTTATCAAGGGTGTTTCCTTCAAAGTTGGAGTGTATTGGACTGAAAGGCAAGGAACCAACAGTATGTTTACAAATAAGCCAGATCTGTAAAACAGATGTGCACGCAAAACTCAAGTTCTGGACCTTTGACCAAAGTTTAGGAGTGGATTAATTACCAGAACTTTCTGCCAGATTTTAGAGCTAGTGGAAGCTAAGAAGAAGAAGCAGACTTCAAATAATTTATTAATTTGGACCCCAAAAATTACTCCCCAAGAGGTCTGCTTCTAAAGTGAAAATTATTTATGTTGAACTCTAGTGCTGTAATGATTTCATGCAAGAGAGGTTTATTTCTGAAAAATAAAATAAGATTGTTTCTTGAACCCTAGTTCTGTAATAATGCCATCAACAAGAAGTTTGCTTAATGCAATAAAATATTTATCTTGAACTCTAGTGCTGCAATGATGTCATCCATGAGATGTTTGCTTAATGAAACAGAGTATTTCTTTTGAACTCTAGTGCTGCATTGATGTCTTCCATGAGAGGTTTGCTTAATGAAACAAAGTATTTCTTTTGACCTCTAGTGCTGCAATGATGTCATCCATGAGAGGTTTGCTTCCGAAATGAAATACGACACTGCTCTCCGCCTGGCTGCCCTGCAGATCCAGCAACATGCCATGAGCAACAACATGACTGGCAAAATCTCCATCAAGGCTATTGAGTGAGTAACCCCAAGCCCGCATGCAACATGCACACACTTATACACACACACTTAGAACTGTTTGTTTTACCAGGGCAAACACTAGTTCATGCCTGTGTCTTATTGTCTGCACAAATCTGGACAGACCTGATTTATCATTTTAGCTGCACTGACATTTAATCAACAAGTAAGATAAAGATGATGCCATACATTTCAGAATAGTGGGTAGGCCTTAGAGTTACACTTGTCTGATTTTTTTTTTTTACTGCTATTGGCAGAGATTGAAAGTGGGCCACAACTCTTCTGATTTGAACTCATTATATTGGTATAATTCTTCTTCTTCATTGGCTTCGTTCACACTCAAACATCTGTATTAAAGATTCAGCTCAAAACAGTAGTTGCAGGTTTATAACATCTCACTGCAGTTTTTGGTGAAAGTAAATAATAATAATAAAAAGAGATGAACAAAATATTTTGGCTGCATTAAAAGATGTGACAAACCAAATAAAAACCATATTGGAGAGAAAAGGTGAAGGAAAGCAAACAAGAAGTTGGCAGCCATACAGATGGGAGGATGGCATCAAGAGATGGACAAATAGCAGTATGTGTGTGAGAGAGAGAGAGAGAGAGAGTGGGAAATCCATTAAAGCCAATTTTCATTGTAGAGGTGGGGCATGTTGATGAATGGTTGACTTATTCAAAGTAATTTTATTGATGAAGATAAAATGAGATGGGTTCAAGAGGGGTGAAAAACATAGAAATCTCTGGGCAACCACTAGTACCAATATTTATTATAAGAGAAGATGGTACTATAAAGTTAGTTGTGTATCCTTTACATGACGTTGCAGATCCAACCCCAGCATTTTTTGCTGTTGTGGTTTTTCTAGGCAGATCTACGTCCAATAGTTTGCCATTGCTTTCAAGATGGTCAGCTTCTCGATACCACTGTCAAAACCAACACAAGGCGCAAAGCCTGCAGCTGGGATCGAATCAGGACCCCAGCAAGGCCTAAGCCACAGATGCCGACACTATATTGGACACCTTCTGAAAAGAGATGAACAGAGAATCACCAATCAGCTACTGAGATTGTAAAAAGAGGGACTGGAGGAAATAAGGATATCTATGACAAACCCTGAGGCGAAGGTTGATGAGAGAAACCAGAGGTGCCTGACTGGATTCCATCTATGATATAGTAGTAATTACACAGGTAAGAACAGAAAGAATAAACAGACTGTGAGCCTTATGTGACATATACAATTATTGATACCATGTTTGTCTGCATTAATTTCTAGACATTGTGTCAGACTGTAGTAGAAGATGATAACTGATGAAAATGCCAGACTATTTTTCACACATTTGTTTTCGGTTTTATTAGGAAGGAGTCCGGACTGGACAAGTTTGTAGCCCATAGCCTGCTAGACAACATGAAGAGGAAGGACTTGCGGAAAATGCTGGCACAGTATATGAAGATGAACCAGAGTCTGACTGCGCCAGGACAGAAACAGCTTTCTGCACTACAAGCCAAATTACATTACATGAAGATTATATCTGAGCTCAAGACTTTTGGCAGTCGAGTATTTATGGTTACTCTTTTGGTATGGTCTTTTTCATGTATTTATTTTATTTCATTTATTAAATATTTATTTGTATAAAAGGGTTTATAAAAAGGGTTGGAAAAAAATTATAGCTGAAGGCATGGTAGCAGGAAGGAGGGGCAGGGACTGACCAACACGAAGATGGGCACAGGATATAAGTGGCTCCTTGAGTATGAAAGTACATGAAGTGGGAGAGCTGGCAAGAGACCAAATTTCTTTCAGGCAGACCGTGATGAGAGTGACGTTCTGCAAAGGAACATACATACACACAAACATAAAAGGGTTTATTTGCTGTCTTTGCCTCAGAAGTCCCTGGCAGTTAGCGTTCTTTGGATATTTTCTCAAGGGTATGCAGGTGTTTTTGTAAATGAACAGACAGACAGATTGGCTGGTTCTGCACAGCCTGATGGTACATGAGTGAAGCATGACAAACTAGATGTTATCAGAACCCTTTGAGAACTAGTGAACAGTGTGGAGGCGCAAACAGAGCATCATGATCAGAAGAGAATGTGCGATGGGGAGTGACCAAAGGATCTGATCAATACTCAGCACTCAAAGAAAAGTAAAGATAGACATAGACTGTTGCTGGTAACATTAGAATTGGAACTCTGTGCTGGCTGCTGAAGAAGGGGACAGAGCACTTAAGGGAATGTCTGAAGTGCTGTGATGTCAGTTTTTAAACTATATCAACTTACTTTAAATGGTTTTTTTTTTTAATTTTGAATCTCCTCCAGCATGATACAAATGTATTATATGATTTGTTGGATGGGTTCTGAAGTCCCATTGGGGCGAGGGGATTAGAAAATAGACCCACTGCCACCTGACAAGCATATTGAACATAACTTACATATTTGAGGCCCATCCAGTCTGCCACATTTTGGATCTAGGTCTTTATTGGATTTTCTCATCTCCACTTCTCCTTGTACCTCACCCTGTTTATGTGAAAGCCTGGTAGGTCTTATAACATGGGATTTTTTAAATCTGGAGCATAGGTAAAAAAGATTATTCCACTCACATTTACTGTTATTGATTTTGAATGTACCCTGGCTGTTCTATAATACAAGTATATAAAATAGTTCATCTATATTTACATTGTAACTAAACAAATGCTAAGACATTTCTATGAAGGTATAAAATCTTAAATTTTGTTCTTTGGACTTCTGAGCCCTTGAGATTCATTGCTGCAGATATTACAAACCTTCATTCTTCTCTGTGATTGGCACTGTCTTTCATGTTAACGATTCCAAAGTGTTTGTAGGTCCACCTGAAAGTTATCTCTCCACCGTCTTATAACAAGATAACAGATACAAAGGTACAACATTAAAACAGATATAACAATACAACATGATTGCTGATATAACAGTTTAACAGATATATCACGACAACAGATATAACAGTACAATATTATAACAGATAAAACAATATAACAGATATAAAAGTGTAACAGATATAATAACCATAACAATTAACTAATAAACTCATTTTAAAATATAACAGTATAAAAATATAACAGTAAAACAAATATTCCCAAAAAAATCCCATATAAAAGCTATAACAATGTAGCAGATAAAACAAAGATAACAAAATAAGAGATATATCAAAATAATAGATACAACATGTATAACAACTATAGCAGTTTAAGAGATATAACAATATAACGTAAATATATGTGCCTAAAGAATAGTGTAGTCTCTTCAGATGTACACAATCAGTTCTTTTTGTTCCTTCACTATAAGAGAGCCTGAATCCGTTGAGCTACTGGGACAAGTTATTTGACAAAACACACTGAAGTCATGGTTCTCTGGTTATCACATGTTTATATTTTCTTGCTTTTTTTTTTTTTTTTAGGACCAGAAGTCAGAAGCAATGATCTTGGTTGGAGCTAAAGCTGGAATCAGTGTGGTCACCAATATCAAAAGTTATACAGTAAGTGTTGAATATATTTTATGTTTAGCAAAAGCTAGAATTTGCATTGTTGCTAGCATGAAAAGCAGCTACACAGTAAGGAGGGATGTTCAGCAAAGTTTACTCAGGGGCAAAAAAATGTGTTTAATAGAGGATTGTCATAAGCCAGAGACTCGAGCCTCAGTATAGAAAGATTATTAGCACAACTGGCAGTGATGAGCTAGCCACCTGCCATGCCTCTGTGAGCCAAATGTAGCCAGCTGGCTGCCGGTTGAAAAGCCATGCAGTAAGGGCTGCTTTACTATACAGGAAGATACCTGTGATTTATGCCAGAAGTACAGTAATATATAAAGCACTACTTGTGGGACTGTAAAAAATATGAACCCCCCCCCCCCCTCCCCCCCCCCCCCCCCAAAAAAAAAATGTAGTAAAAGACTGTACTATGTGTAAATTATGTATGATGATGAAAACTTGGTTACACATGGGCAACCCCTGAGACCTGTCTAGAAAGGTCAAGCAGTTTTTTTACTGGAACTAAAATCCACATATAGAACGGTAAAGAATCACCCTGCCGTTCTTGAAGACATTTCTCCTAAACTTAAAATCAACAAAGATAAACAAGATAATCAACTACCGTAGTAAGATCATAATAAATCTGGTTTTTTTTTTTTTTTTTTTGGTTTTTTTTTTTGTTGCTAAGATTATCTAAATATTCTTAGTATAATGACTGTTTAATCACAACCCAAAAAGGTGTAAACAGAGCGGTATTGCAAATAATACAGATTAAATAATTGTCCGAAATAAAAATAATTATGCAGTATGTAAAATAACAAAAATATACTCTGATCAGTACTTTATATCCAAATCTTAACCCTGAGGGATGAACAGGATATTTTTGTGACAATTACTACTGCAGTACTATTATATAAAGCGGCGTCCGTGGATAAGGCGTTGCGAGTCTGACTCGTAATCCAACGTACCGCGATCGAAACCCACTGCGGGCTGCGTGGATTTTTATCGTGGTATGGGGCGTCGCAGGTCGACCCAGCCTAAAATGGGTACCAGGATGGCTGTCCTGGGGAAGTAGAGACGGCCGGCGTAATGCTGACCACATTACCCACCAAGTGCCGATTGGTCTGTAAAAATATGGGTGCTCTTCCCATATGCCCGATGCACCTAAAGGCGTGAAAAGGGATCTTTACTTTTTTTTTTTTTTATTATTATATAATGTTTGTAAAAAAATGGAATCAGTGTGGTCATGAATACGAAAAGTTACACACCAAGTGTTGAATTTATATTTTATGTTTTGCAAAAGCTATAATAAGTGTTGTTATTAACTTAGAAAGTTAATTAGTGTAATGTTTCAAATGTTGGTTGTGATAAGTTGTTTGTTTTTCCTCTCTCTCTCTCATTTATCAAACTTGTTTAATCTCTCAACAGTTGACACAGCTGGCGGACTTTAGTCAGATTGAGAACATCAAGATAACGAAAGATGGAGAGAACATGCATCGGGTTGACATTAGCATTAAAGCCAGCAACAAAATTGAAGTAAGTCACATATTTGGTTGGCTGGCACCTTTCCACTTTCCATATGATAGTGTTTTATTGTGCTATAGTTAGGTGTGGAAGTCAATGCTTGTGGTGATGGCGAGTGACTGACAAGACCCGCTCATGTTCATAAAAATCTTCTGCAATCAGAGCATGGGGTTTTAGGACCATTGTTGTAATTGCATGAAATTAGTATGCTTCTTATCAGATGCTCAGCTCTCAACCTTTCTGCAGTCATTTTTGTGTGTGATTCCATTACCTTCCTGGCGACCCCCCCCCCTCCCCCCCTCTTCCCCATGCAAGACTGCCCCTGGCATTTTGTTCCTATAGATCTACCTGAATACCTGTATCATTTATGTCTCACTTACACGTATCTTTATATCATAAGCACAGGCTAATCTCAACATCTTCTACCCATATGTAATCCACCATAGAGTGTCCTTAGACACACCTGCCATCCTCCCAAGAGTGACCTTTTGAGACTGTGCAGTGAGAAACTGCTAAGTTACATATAACTCCAAATAAATTTGCACATGAAAATTAAAATTGTTTCATATTAAATTAATTTTGTCAACAGATAATGACAAGTGAAGTATAAATAATGAAATGAATAGGAACCATGTGTGTGTTTCTGGAGCAATCAAAGGACCAAAAATAAAATGGTAACACTGCGCCGTGTAAGAGGGATTTGAGGTTTGAGTTGGCTAAATCATCCCATAAAACACTATATTTGCACAAACCGACCACCCATGAATGAAGTCAAAGAGAGAAACAAGCAATAATCAACCAACCAAGACAGGATGGGAAAAGGGGTTGGGGTGTTGGAGGGGGGGGGGGGGAAGGGGAATTTCCTCCTATAAACATTATCAAGCAGTACTGAGCTAAAAGTAATACAGTCTGCAGATTTACCTACTTTCACTTAGAAAAATATACACAAAAAAAGGCAAAAGAAAAGAAGGCTTCAACTCTTGACAATCAGAGAACCAGTATAGTTTACAAACAGTGGAATTCCAGCAGTTTTGATTCTGTCATGTGCATTGAAGGACATCACTTCCTTTACCGTCTTCCAGAAAACCACATAGCCCCTTACCAATTCTACTGCTGTACTCCTTTCTTTATGTTCATATTTACCCTGATGGGTAGCAGTAGTCTAAGGCAATAGGCATCATCTCTAAAGAGCCCTACTTGCTCAGACACCTCTCTCTTTCCTGGTCCACAATAACTTGCATGGCCTATGGGCCTCACCATCAGATTTTGTTTTTAAACTGTAAATGTAAAGGTGAGAGGATTGACTTCACTGCACTGGGTTTTTCCCCAAATGGCTCAGTCACTCTGCAGAACTGCTAGCTGCCTGCCGAGAGCTTCACACAAAGCACGACCTTCCTAGCTCTGGCAACGATCCCCAGAGATCTCCGTAAAAATTGCACTCAACTGAATGGCGTCACCATGCAATGAACCCACTACCTTCGGAGCGTGAGCAAGGCAAACGGTTTGACCACTTCACCACAGAAACCCCCCCCCCCCCCCCTTTTCCTTTTTTTTATTTTTTTATAGGATTATATATGTGCATTTATAGATGGGGGAGAAGAAAAGGTAGAGAAGGTGGTCTTTTGTACACTTTACCGGTAAATTATTTCATAGAACATGAAAGAATTAATTGTGTGTGTGTGTGGGGGGGGGGAGGGGTCATTTGATCAGAGTGGAACAAAATAAATCAGCCACAGGATACAAGTCTAGAGGCCGACCTAGAAAGAGATGGTTGGATGGCGTAAAAGAGACACTATAGGAATGCAGAATGACATTTCACAGGCGATGCAACTAGCCAAAGACAGGAAACTACATCTAGCTCCTCTCTGTGATTCAAAAAATAAAATTTCTTTCATATCCTTTACTGGACGCTGCAATTGTTTGGCTGTTGTGGTTTTTCTAGGCAAATTTTAGGTTCAGTAGTTTTCCATTGCTCTCTGAGCTGTCAGCTCTCGGTACCACTGTTGAAACCAATGCAAGACAAATCGTCTGCAGTACCCCAGCATTACGAAGCTCGTTCGAAATGCCTAAGACAATGACCCTCTCTGTGATATCTTACAGTATAAGCAGCAAGATGCCAAGAAGTTTTTGAGATGAACAATGTTGTAGTTTTCTCTGGCTTTCTACAAGCACACTGCTTTAGACGATGTAATCAACTGTTAACAATCTTGTCAGTTGCCAGCATTGGGTGGTACTCTTGTTAACAAAATGTCTTCTTCCGCATTTTCTCTTAAAAGGGTGGTTAGCATGTTGTATTGTGACTTACAGCAACGCTAAACTTTCTGCACTTTTTAGCCTTGCATTTGTTTTCTTCAGCAAATCCCTGTTTAGTTTTACCTTTTATGACTTGCTTGTTACGAAGCGATGTCTGTTCTTTTCTCCAACACCCCCCCCCCCCCCTTCAACCCCCATAGGGAGCTAACAGCTTATGGTTTTGAAACATATAAAAAGCTTATATTGCACATACGGAGCACTTCTTACAAGCATATAGTCTTTATGTATGTTTGTAGACTTTGTTTGTTTGTATATGCATGTGTATATGTGTGTGTGTGTGTGTGTATATATATATATATATATATATATATATATATATATATATATATGTGTGTGTGTGTGTATATATATATATATATATATATATATATATATATATATATATATATATATACACGTGTGTGTGTATGCTTGTGTGTATGTGTGCATGCGTGTATGTGTGTGTGTGTGTGCATGCATGTATATGTGTGCGTGCGCATGCGCATGCCCGCGCGTGTGTGTGTGTGTTGAGAAAGGAGGGGGGGGGGAATTTGCATGGCCGAAAGCCAGACATACACTAGCATTATTAGTGTTAGTCCTCAGTCTGTTTTCTACCCTTTCTACAGAACATCGCCCTTGGCTTGTTGATGGAGGACGCCCAGAATTTTGTGTCCATGGTGGTGGGATATTACCACATTTTTGTGGACAGAGACAAAAGGATTCTAGAGAAAACTGTTGGCAAAAACACATCCGATCCTCATGGTTTGTCTTGTCTCTCAGTATTGTTTGTCTCATTAGGTTTTAATATACATTTGTTATAAACAGTATTTATCCATATTGATAAGGGTAATGATGTTAAAACATGGAATGTTTAATGATAAAGAGTAACCCAGATGTTTCAAAAGAGGTCAGGGCTCAAAGGTAGTTTATCATAAACATCAAAAAGAGACAGTGATCATTTTTTTTTGGGGTGGGGGGTTGGGAGGGGGGGGGGGTCATGTTACGAGAAGGAAACTGGAACATGTTGCTATCACTAGAAAGATCTGTTTAACAAATTTTTTTAAAGACTCAGAGGTAGACAGCGTGAGACAATTCTTGACAGCCTTTTTGCCATGGCAGGGAGGTAAGTCAGCACACGAACCAATAAATCCTGCTGAAGATAGACTCATTGATTTACTTGTTCTAGTTTGTGACATTCAACATATATTTGAATTTTTATACCAGCTGAATTATTTTCCATTACTTTAAACTTGTCTACATTTATTTCCTGCCATAAATTGGTAGATGTTTTTATCAGGCAGGTCAGTGGGTTATTATCCTGCTTTGGACAGAAGGATACTCTTCAGTTGAGCTAGAAGGGGGCTTCAGATGAAAACTTTAAAGAAAATCTTAGTTCACTACACTCAGGGGAAAGACAAGACGGATGTATAACCAGATTGTGACCGGTACCATCAGTATTGAAACTGCGCTGGCTGCTGAAGATGAGGGCAGAGCATGCATGGGAATGCCCTAAGTGCTGAAATGTCAATTCTTGACTTAACTCAATTCAACTCAACATTAAAGGATTGGTCCTAAAAAAATGTGGTAGAAATTACAGTTACCACTGCCATTGTCTTTTGACTTGTCAGTATTGTTGTAAATGATGTCAAGAGTGTTAAGCACATAATATCACAGTGCAAATGAATATAGTGACATCATGATAGTTTACAGACGGCCACCCAACTTTTGACATTCACCAAAGAGGAGCATGGAGCTGCCATGATGTGGCAGCTAGATGCTCGCCTGCGGATCCGAAGATCATGGGTTGAGATCCTAATGGAGCTGGGCTGTTTTTTCAAAATTCAAAAATGACCTTGGTACCTCAAAAAGGTACCAGGTAACGTCCTGAGAAGTAAAGGTGGCCGGCGTGATGTTGACCACATCATCCACCAAGTGCCATTTTGTCTGTAAAATATAGGTCTAGCCCTATATGCCCATATTTATTTAGAGAATATGTTAGCTATTATCGCTATCAAAACTTGCAGGGATTTTCTGCTATCTAATTTTTCAAGCAAACATTAACAGATTTTTATTCAGTCTTAGTTATAATTTGTAAGCTAAAATTACAACAAAATATTTTAGTGATTCTATTATAGCAGTAGCAGCAGCAGCAGTAATAGTAGTAGTAGATGAGTAGTAGCAGTATCAGCAGCCATTAGTAGTAGTAGTAGTAGCAGCAGCAGCAGCTGCAGCATTAGTAGTAGTAGTAGTAGTAGTAGTAGTAGTAGTAGTAGTAGTAGTAGTAGTAGTAGTAGTAGTAGTAGTAGTAGTAGTAGTAGTAGTAGTAGTAGTAGTAGTAGTAGTAGTAGTGCTTACAGCAGTGGTAGTAGTAGTGCTTACAGCAGTGGTAGTAGTAGTGCTTACAGCAGTGGTAGTAGTAGTAGTAGCAGAAGCAGCAGCAGCATTCGTGGTAGTAGTATTGGTGGTGATGGTGATAGTAGTAGTAGTATATTAGTGTTTATAGAAGTGGTGGTAGTAGTAGTAGTAGTGCTTACAGCAGTGGTAGTAGTAGTGCTCACAGCAGTGGTAGTAGTAGTAGTAGTAGCAGAAGCAGCAGCAGCATTCGTGGTAGTAGTATTGGTGGTGATGGTGATAGTAGTAGTAGTATAGTAGTGTTTATAGAAGTGATGGTAGTAGTAGTAGTGCTTATAGTAGTGGTAGTAGTAGAAAAAGCAGCAGTTACAGCAGCAGCAGCAGTTTAAACAACAGTAGTATGTTCAACCCTTTTGGGTTATTATAACTGACATAGAAGTATGTTTTTATTTATTTACTAATTGTTTTTAATTATTTCAGTATTGGGTATTCATGTTTCTCTGTGATTCTGGGTTTTCAGTCCCATCATATGATTCCCACCATCGAGTAATGCCATCCCCGTGGGCTTATCCTGAAGATTTAGTGTCAGAGGTTGTTGAACCTTGTCGTGGAGGAAGTGGAGGTGAGGATGAGAAAATCATCGACCTGTCTCAGGAACCCCCACAGTATGAGAAAAATGAGGAGTATACTGCCAAAATGATACAAGGACTTAATGTTCAGGTACAGACAAACTGTGTTTTCTATTTTATGATTAGTTATCGCTAAAAAAAAATTTTTAATGATCAAGTTCTTTTAAATAATAATTATGCACGTATTAACAATTAGAATTAAAGGTACGGTAATCTTAGTTTCAGCTTCATAGCCGACGGGCACTCCATAGTTGCTCCACTCCTGTGCAATGGAAAACATACAGAACGTCCATTGCTGCCCTTGTGGGAAAATTGACACAGACTGCAGGTTACATCAGGCTAGTGTAGCCACTACACGTGCCTGAACTATAACCATTAATTATAATTATATTCACTTGTTGAAGAGGGTATCTGGGATTTGCCCTGATGGCTTGCCATCCAGGATGAGCAAGGCTTGGAATTAGCGAGTTGAATTCAAGCCCTGAAGATGTAGATGTACATTATAATAGAAAGTATTTTATAGAAAGGAGAAAAAAAGACAAAGGTTCTGGAGACATGGAAAAAAAGAAAAAAAGAGTTTCTGAAAGATGTTTAAAAAAAAAAAGAGAGATGTGAAATATTTTAGGCACAATGTCATTCTGATAAAACTCATTCTACAAGGGAAAGGTTGAATGTTGGCAAGAAAGAGGCAGATACAACCTACATTGTTGAAAAACACCAAATTATTGATTGTTTGATTATTTGAAGATACCCATATTTCAGACTATTTGCAAGGTTGTAGCTCAACGGCCTTTTTTTGCCCCTCTATTTTCAGGTCAAGTCTAATTTGTTGAGTGTTGAGCAGTTCATTCTATCAGTTTTTCCTAGAAGTAGTAACCTTTCACAGTCAGACTCATCTTTACTTCTTCTTCTTCGTGTTCACCGGCTGTAAGCTCCAGTGGAAAGTTCTGGTTGTTCATCCACTTCTGAACTCTAGTCCTGTTCCAGAACCTGAGTGTTGCGTGTACATCCGTTTCACAGGTCTGACTCATTTGCATGCAGACTGTTGGTTCTTTGCCCCTCAGGCAGATGTACTCCACCTTCAAAGGAAGCTCCCAATTAGTCGACTCTTAGGACATGCTTTTGGGCAGGCAGTGGGTCTATTCTTGTTTTCCCCACAACTGGGCCTCAGAACCCACACGGGAAGACTTGTTTTTAAAAAACAACAAATTAGTTCGTTGTTCCTCTTACTACTGTACTTGGGGCCCACAAAATGATGTTATGACAACAGTGGATGGCAAAATAAAATGGTAGTCATTTTTCTGTATTCAGAAGTTCTTCTGTTGACTGTAAGGACTCCTAGAATGCGTATGATCTTGGTTGCTGTACACACACCAATATACACACAGAGTATAAAACCTTGTTTAATCTGTCGCACCAAGGATAAAACCATCTGTCATTTCAAGCACATCAAGGATAAATTTCTTTTGTTCTAAGCACACAAGGATAAAACTGTTATTCTGAGCACACCAAGGATTAAACTGTTATTTAAAGCACACCAAGGATTAAACTGTTTTTTCAAGCAGACCAAGGATTTAACTGTTATTTCAAGCACTCCACGGATAAAACTATCTGTTATTTACAGTTTTAAAAACAAATTATATATTTTTTACAGAACATTAAAGAGACCAACCCCTGAATTTGTATGGCTCTTTGTGGCTGTTGCCAGGCAATTTTTTTGTTCAGTAGTTTGATACTGCTGCCTCAGCTGTCGGCTCTCGATGAAACTGTTAACATGAATGCAACAGTCTCCTGCTAATTCAACATCAGCTGTGATCAAACTTAGTACCGCGGAATTATGAAACATGTTCTCAACACCTAAGCCACAGTATACCAGAGATAAGACTATCTATTATTCAATCATACCCGGATAACAGTGTTATTTTAAGTATACTAGGGATAAAACTTGTTTCATGCATACCAAAGATAAAAACTAACTTATTTCCAATATACCAAATATAAAACTATCTAGTATTTCAAACATACCCGAGATAAAGGACCCTTTTCCACGCCTTTAGGCGTATAGGGCATATAGGGCTAGACCTATATTTTTATAGACCAATCGGCACAAGATGGGTGCTGTGGCTGCACCCGGTACCCACTCAGGGTCGACCTGGGAGCCAAGGTCGTTTTTAAAAAAAATTACGGCTCCGCCAGGGAGCGAACCCACGACCTTCCGATCAGCGGCGAGCGTCTAGCCGCTCAGCCACGGTGACTCCCACCCGAGATAAGACTGTCTGTTATTTCAAGCATACGAGGTTAAAACTGTCAACTTTGTCAACACCTCTTTACTGAAAAATGATGTCTATAAAGGCTTGAACAAGCTCATTGCCTGTGGCTAAGCTATGCTAACATTCTTCTTCAAAAAGGACAAGATAAATAACCCCCAACATTGGGATAGAATGGATTTATTTACTAGCTAGATGAGGAATTTGGCGTTATCCCTTTTTCCCTGGTGACCTAGAGAAAACAGAGCCAAAGATGCATATTTTTTAAATGTCTGTTTTGCGAAAAAATATTCATTTAAAAAACAATTATTTTATACAGTTCACACAACAATTTATAAAAGTTATATTTATAGACCAAAGCATTATTTAATGGCATACAAGCTATTGGGAGTAATCAATAAGCACAAATGCAGCAGATAATTGACTGGGTTAAACATGTTTACACCTTTTTGAACCTGTGACCTGCCACCAGTTACCACTGTTACTAATGGAACATTTTGGTGTACTAATTTCCATAAATAAAACCATTTTCCACACATCAACGCCTACCTAAATGCTATTTTTAGCAGCTCTGTTCCTGGTCATTCTATAAAGTTGCCCAGAAAAACAACAGAAACAATGCTGCTAGCAAAGCTCCTCATAAACAAGCCTGTATAGCAAGCTCGATCAAGAAAAACCTGGATACAAAACTTGATTGACTGGACAAGCTTTAGGCAGGCAACCATGAAGCCTATTGCATCTGACCATCAATGGTGGAGGGAGCTGATCAGACAGTCAACAGCAACTGACCCAATGACAGGCAGTGTTAAGGGATGATGATGATGATGATGAGTATGGTGTAAACTACTCATAAATGTGTTGTTGTTTTTTTTTTTTCAATATTCTTTCTTTTCAAACTCATTTTTTTCAGGGACCATTTAAAACGGTTGAGGACCTAGATGTATCTCATACAATGTCTGGCAGGAAGTCTAATGGGCAGCTTTTTGAAGAGGGAGTCACTTCATTCGGTAGAGCAGCAAGTTCTGGAGATGATTCAAGTTCCATGGACAGCTCTGTGTCTTCCCAAGGAATAACGTTCAGAACTGTGATTGCTACGACAAAGAACTCTTCCCGCTTAGATCTTCAAACTGACCAAGCCACCTCACATCTTCAACCTCAAGAAACCTTAGTGAGCTTCAAAGCAAGTCCTGCAAGCAACAGAAATAATTCAGTATTACACATTTTAGAAGTTTCAACATCAACAGAAGATGTTGGGTCTGAGATTGAGAATATCAGTAAGATTCCTTCCATAGAATCTGAATACCCTCCAGAAACATCCAGCTTTAATATTAATGGCTTGGGACATGATCAACATGATCGTTTACTTTCTGATACAGCTAGCAGTACAAGTAGTCTATCAATGAATGAAGCCAGTGAGAGGCAAGCCTTACTTGGGGACCAACAGAATAAGGAGGAAGGTTCACCAACACGGTTTCTAGCTCTCAAGACGGCGGCCAAGATGAATGATGGGATGGATGCGGACAGTGATGACACTGACAGCATGGGAACACCTCATGCCAGTCCTGCCAAGAGCAGACAACTGACAAGAACTGCCTCCAATGAATTAGGTACTTCTGAAGTTATATTTTATTTGAATGTGTTTATTTGCATAATTGTTAGCAGCTAGTACATTTTGTGGAAAACGTTTCTGTTGTTCAGCTAAGGAAATATAGTGGGCAGTCAGATTACTATGCAAAATGTGGGTGATGGCATCAAAGACAGCCCTACAGAAATTAAGACCACCTTTCCCAGAGTAATGCTGACCACATTATCCACCTAGTGCCAATTGGTCTGTAAAAATATGCGTGCTCTTCCCATATGCCCGATGCCCCTAAAGACGTGAAAAGGGATCTTTACATAACTTTTGGCTCTCCTTTGAATCAACCCCCAAAATGGCGGCATGCCACATTCTGGCCATAAAATATCCAAAAATATCCGAACGATGGTGTTCGCATATATCTAAAATACGGACTTTCTGCCAAGGAACAAATCGCTGCAAAACTAGGATTACTTGACAATCAATATCAACATTTGCACACGGGTAGTAGCAGACGATAAATACTGACCGTTGACAACAATTTCGAGCGTTTCTGCAGACGATACTAGCAGACGATATTGGCGACCGTTGACCAATTTCAAGACATTACAGACGGTGAAAGTCGATTAGCAATACTGCGTTCTTCCAATCGGAGGATTTAGCAGCGGTAGATGTCAGACTTGTTGGGATGCGCCAAACGCGATTAAACTCATCGCCGAGCATATTCCCCGCGCCGCTACGCGCGGCACAGATCGGGGCTAAACTAGGTGCCTGAGATTCACAAGTACAGTAATTGGAGGAAGTTACACGAGATGTGGTAGCTGCCGCTCGTGAGTCCCAGCCATATAGTTTAGTCCCCATCCGCGCATAGCGGCACAGGGGATACGCTCGCACACTCGCAGAAGAAGGTCGGCAAGTAACGTATCGCCGAGACCCTGTCAGTGCGTTTGTTTCGTTATCCGGAGCCGGCACATATATTTTTAATAGAACTGACCCGCATTTGGATATTTTTGGATATTTTATGGCCAGAAATTGGCCAATTTAGCCCTATTTCGAACGCCATCATATTGAAGCCGCCATTTTAGGGGTTGATTCAAAGGAGAGCCTAAATTTTTTACTCAACGTTCATGAAAAAGGTTAAATGGGCTTTGAATGAGACTACACCTGGTATCATTAGTACTGGAACTCTGCACTGACTGCTGAGATGGAGAAGGAGCTTTTATGTTAGTGTACTGAGTGCTGTGTTGGTTCTTGGCTCAACTCATGATCAGCTTACCAAGTGCATTTGAAAGAGCACTTGGAACATCATTGTATCTACCCCTGGATATTTAACTGAGGTAAATAGAGGAAGTCAATAAAAAGATTGGAGCTGATTACAAATGAGAGCTGGAGTTGGTTGATTGCCTATGTTCCAGTGAGAGATAAAAGGCAAAGATGAAGACATGTGAAGCCATTAGGCAAAAAATTAGTTAGTCTAGTCTATTCCAGTGCAGGCCAAACTTTACTGGTTGCTGAGTGAATTACAACAGGTAGTAAAGTTCATACTGGAGACAACACTGCAGATATACATCATCTATGTCAAGCGAATGAAAAAAGAAGAAGAAAAGTCTATTCTTAAAATGTATCGTCATCAACCTTTAGTGTCAGAGGAAGAAACAATGGCCCAGTTCTCACTGAATGGCACTGGCAATTGTTATTCTATGTGGGTGTATGCTTTTTTATCACATCAGTTCATCTTCTTGGATGCCCTCTTGCTGTCATATCAGATCCTTTTATGTGTATCATCTGTGTTGGTAATAGTTGTAGCTGCATTCTAATGAGATGACCGAATCATTTGATCTTTTTCTTCTCAGTGAATTTTGTGTAGCAGTAGTTCCAAGAGTTTTCTTCTTCTGTGTTTAGCCTACAACTAGACAGACTGTGATATCTGCATCTTTTGGCACAAGACATCTGATTTCAGCTCACTCCTAATTAGTTGCCTTTTATGACATGCTTGTCAGGGGACAGTGGGTTTATTCTTTCTCCTCACCAAAATGGGGACTTGAACTCTCATAGGGGCTACCAACAATGTCTCTGATAGTATTGTTTCTCACTCAGTCTTGGATGGTTGTTCTTGTTGTTGTTATCGATCCAGCAGTGCATGAGCTTTCACCTGATGCCATGTAGTGGAATTTAAATGTTTTCACAAGCTGTTCTTTTCCTCCATACACTGTGTTCCACTTGTCTGGTCTAGGAGGGAGTAACATTTTTCTAGTCTCTCTGAGTTTTGGGCACTCAAAGAAAGGATGGCCTACAGTTTCGTAGGGTTAGTTACATAGTTAGCACTCTGGGAAGTGTTGTGGTTGTATTCTGTTTAGAAGTTCACTGAGTGGAATAGCTGTGTTCTGAGTCTGAAGATGGTGGCCTGGTCCCTCCTTGTAAGATGGTTGATGCTGTCATTAGGATCAGGGCCAGCTATATGTGTGTAAACCTCTCCTCCAGTATCTCCCATGGTCCATCTGTTCTGCCAAGTCTCTGTGTTTATAGCTCTTTTAAGTGCTTTTGCTGTCTGTAGGGTTGTCACTGTGGGTGGTTGTATTAGATGGTTAAGCTGGCGGCTCTGCTCAGGCACCCCACATCACTGGTGGTAACTTCAGGACCACCCTATGTGGATTCCGAGACCCCATTGTGAAAAAAAACTATAACAGACCCACTTGTCAGAGTCAACTAATTAGGGATCTTTCCATCAAATGACATCCGCCTGACCGGTGAGAAACCAGCAGTGTGCATACAAATAAGCCAGATCTATAAAACTGCTGCGCATGCAAAAACTCAGGTTGTGGAACAAGATATAAGTCCAGAAGTGGATGAACAACCAGAACTTTCTGCTAGAGTTTACAGCTGGTGAACAGAAAGAAGAAGAATTTTGGGATCATAGTTGTTGCGCAACAATGCACATGGGCATCTGATCTGACTACCCAGAGACCAGAAAGAGAAGAAGAAAGAAATCTGAGCTAAATGTGTTCAGCATGCTTTGCTGTTTAGTGAATTGTTTGACTGGTTTCAAACCTATTCTTCTTATTATATCTTCATTTTAAATGAATGGGTAGATTTGTTTACAGTTTAAGTAAAGACTGCATACTCTTTTTGTTTTCCACAATTAGAAACCCTAACACATTTAACTCTTTGAGTCCCAGGGGGTTTTGCATCAGAGGCCCAAGGGGTAGTCAAAAGAGTTGTAAAATTGGTGCATCTTGTGTTCATTGGGCGTCTAGGCGGGAACCTATGAACATATGATGCGTTCTTTGTGACTCAAAGAGTTAAAAGGGATTTTTAAATAGGAAAAGATAACACAGACTTTGACTAAGACTGTCAAAGTGTCTGTTAGTATCTATGTAGATAGAATTATTTAAAATGTTACAAAAACATCACTTTCTCCAGCATTGCAAAGTTTTGGTCTGCACAGCCCAGACACAGGAGCAGAAGTTGATTTCCAAAACATGGATGAAAATATTCAGGTCACAGCAAATGGAACAATGGAAGGCTACCAGTCAGCTTACTCCACACAGAGAGGTGTTAATCAAGGGTTGTATTATGATCCTGACATTATAGGTACTTGTCTTTAATATATGTACGTTTGTGTGTGAGTGATCGACTGCCTGGCTGAGTGAGTGAGTTAGTGGGTGTGTTTGGATGTATTTGCATGGACTTGCATATATCATTTGAAGTGGCATAGAATGTCTTCTTCTTCTTCTTCTTCTTCGCGTTCACCAGCAGTCAACTTCAACAAAAAGTTATGGTTGTCCGTCCACTACTGGACTTTGGTCTTGATTATGAACCTGAGTCTTGTGTGTACATCCATTTTACAAATCTCACTTATTTGTATGCAGACTGTTGGTTCCTTGCCTGTTATGTAGATATACTTCAGCTTAAAAGGAAACACCCCTAATCAGTCACCTCCTACGACATGCTGTGAGGGTTGGTGGGAAGGGGGGGGGGGGGGGGGGAGTGTATTCTTTGTTCCTTAAAATGGAGCTCTGGAATCCACACCGGGAGATAAAACTCAAAGCAATGACTTTATGGTGCTCATTGGATAATATAATTGTCGAAGCAGATGTCCCCAAGTTCACAATAAATTAGGATTAACTAAAAGGGAAAACCCTAAAATATTTGGGAGTTTGTTCAACAGGGGTCCGTTATTCAGTCAAGGACTACATAGATCTTCTTCTTTTTCTTCTTCTTCATGTTTGCCGGCTGTAATCTCCGGCAGAAAAGTTCTGGTTGTTCGTCCACTTCTGGACTCTAGTCCTGTTCCAGAGACTGAGTGTTGCATGTACATCCATTTCACACATCTAACTCATTTGTATGCAAATGCTGGTTTCTTGCCTCTCTGGCAGATGTACTCCGACTTTGAAGGAGGCTCCAAATTAGTCGACTCTTACGATATGTTTTTGGGTAGGCAGTGGGTCTATTTTTGTTTTCCCTATAACAGGAACCCAGAACCCACACAGGGAGTAGAATAATTATGAATTCGCTTAAATCGGGTGTGTAGGGTCGAAAATCTCAGATATTGCAGGCTAGCTGTAAACCACAACACAATATGTGAACTGTCCTATTAAGTGCAAATGCAGAAAAAATGGAACTTATCAATCTCTGAATGTATAAACTTTTAGATACACCTCCATGTTTTTCTCCAACTGTCAGGCTTTTTCATCCAGATAACAGAACAAAGAGTATTTAAAACACAACCAAAGTCACAGTTGTTAGCAAGACTGTCTTTCTGACTGGAAGAGAGGTTCTGAAACATGACTGTAGTCCAGAAGTGGATGAACAACCAGAGTTTACAGCTGGTGAATGCAAAGAAGAAGAAGATTATTCCACTTTTATGACATGCTTATTAAGGAGTATGTGTGTATGTATGTATGTATGTATGTATGTATGTATGTATGTATGTATGTATGTATGTATGTATGTATGTATGTATGTATGTATGTATGTATGTATGTATGTATGCATGCATGCCTGCCTGCCTGCCTGCCTGTCTGTCTGTCTGTCTGTCTGTCTGTCTGTCTGTATGTATGTATGTCTGTCTGTCTGTCTGTCTGTCTGTCTGTCTGTCTGTCTGTCTGTGTGTGTGTGTGTATGTATGTATGTATGTATGTATGTATGTTTGTAAGTGTGTGTGTATGCATATATGTATGTATGTATGTGTGTATGTATATGTGTGTGTGTATGTATGTATGTATGTATGTTTGTATGTGTGTGTGTGTATGCATAAATGTATGTATGTGTGTATGTATGTATTCTGTGTCATCTCCAAAGTAAAAGTTAGCTAAAGTACCATTCTGTCTTTGGGAAACATTATGTGATGAGGCCCCAATATCTTCCACAGTGTGACTCTCATTCCATTGTCCGCAAACCATGAGAACGGTTTTTTTAAACTGTCCACCGTGAGGGGAACAAACTGCAATACTTGAAGATCATAAAGTCATAAACCACATTCAATAATCTGCCCTAACCTCTAAACCAGTGATTCCCAAACTGTGCACCGCGGTGCCCTGGGGAGCCGTGACCTCTTCACAGGGGCACCACGATATATTCAAAGATACATGAGTTTTATTTTTTGTTTTCTTATCTTTTACATACGAATGGTCATATTTTTATTGGGTTAGGGCGCCTGGGAAAAATTTTAATTGAAACAGGGCGCTGCATCTAAGAGAAATTTGGAAAACACTGCCTCAAGCTATGGAGCCGGACCTATAATGGAGTGCAGGGGAGTCTATACATATTTTTTCCTCCACAAAATGAGGCCTCACAATCCACATGGAGAGGAATTATTTAGTGGTGTTATCTGTTACCTAGCGGCATGGATTTTTATCATGGTATGGGGCATCACAGGTCGACCCAGCTCAAAATGGGTACCAGGATGTATGTCCTGGGGAAGTAAAGGCGGCCGGCATAATGCTGTCCACATTACCCACCTAGTGCTGATTGGTCTGTAAAAATGTGGGTGCTTTTCCTACATACCCGATGCACCTAAAGGCGTGAAAAGGGATATTTACTTTTACTTATCTGTTATCTGATATAATGCTCATGGTGTATATTTCCACAGATTTAACCAATTTTCCACCTCCTGAAACACCAGAAAATGATTTAGTGCTAGACTTCACAGATTCAAACTTTCCCCCACCAGGATTTTCTTCACATACATCTTTATCTAACTGGACCAGTAATGACACAGGTACCAAAAAAAAAAATTTTAAAGAGGACATTTTATTTTTTGTTATACTGAACTGTTTAACTCTTTGAGTCCCAGGATGTTTAGCATCACAGACCCAGGGGATAGTTAAGAGAGTCATAAAATCGGCACATCGTGCATTCATTGGGCTTCTAGGGAGGAACATGTGAACGTATGATGCGTTCCTTGGGACTCAAGGAGTTAAATGAAGTTCTGGCAGGTTTATGTGTTTTTTTTTTTGTTTAGCTGAGAGAAGAAATACAATCTAGAATACAATCTGGAAATAAAGTTTACTATGCCCTTCAACATCTGCTAAAGTCAAAAGTCTGTCTTGCAACACCAAGATCAAAACATGTAAAATGTTGATAAGACCAGTCGTTTTATATGGCTCTGAAACTTGGAGCACAACTAAAAGAGATGAAGGCTTATTACAGGTTTTCTAAAAACAGTCTTACAGCGAATCTTTGGACACACAAAGATGCAAATAGTGGGGAATGGAGAGGGAAAAGCAGCAACAAAATTCATAATCTATTTAAATCACCATTGATCACTGGTATCATGAGAGCTAATAGACTAAAATGGTTGGGGCATATTGAAAGAATGTCAGATGACAGAGAAGTAAAAACTGTATACACAAGGGAGATGAATAGTCATAGACCACGAGGCTGACCAAGAAGACGATGGAGAGATAATATCCAGGCAGACCTGCAAACACTTGGTGTCACCAACTGGAAAAAGAATGCCAACCAGAGAGATGAATGGAGGCGGTGATATCTGCAGCAATGAACCTCAAGGGCTCAGAATGCTGAACAAGAAGAAGAAGAAATTTGTTTAGTATAAAATGTGGACTTTACACTGACTGCCAATTTATGCATGTATAGGCTGAACATGTCAGAACCTTTTTCACGTAAAGTGGTGAGTTCAGTCCAATGCTGTGCTCCATTATTATGTGCAATGTGACTATCTGGTCAGTACAGGATTAGTTCGGCTGAAAACCTGCCTGTTCATCTCTTAGCTTTTTATCAGTAGCATCATATATTGTCTTTCCAAAATAATCCTACTTAATATTTTTCCATGAACTAACAGCAACATAATTCCTCTAAAGTCTCACACTCCTGCAGATCATTTTTTTTTAAGGGGGGAGGGCCAGGAGGGAGGGGGTTGCAATTTTACAAGATATTTTTTTCTCCAGTCTGCTGGTATTTCTTCAGTTTCCTAGGCTTTACTGAACAATTGATGATGTGAAAAAGCTTTTGAAAGCATTGATAGGGAGTCACTCTGGAAATTGATGGGGCACTATGGGATTCCACAAACAATTATTAACTTAGCAAAAAGCGACATGTAATGACATGAAATGTGCAGTTTTTCATGAGGGAAAGCTAACAGATTCATTTGAAAGAAGAGCAGATGAACGACAGGGATGTCTTTTGTCACCTCTCCTATTTCTACTGGCACTAGACTGGATTATGAAGATAGCAGCTGCTAACACCAAGAATAGAATTCAGTGGACCCCTATAAAACAACTTGATGATCTGGACTTTGCTGCTGATATTTCTCTTCTGTCCCATTCACGGAATCAGATGCAAGATAAATTAAATAAGCTTGATACGAGATCACAACAGCTAGGTCTGAAAATCCTTACAGGTAAAACAAAGAAAATGAGAAAAGTCAGGCATATAGTAATGTAGTTTCTCTCAGTGGTATCCCACTCCATCTATTTTTGCAGTAAGTAGGTAAAGTAAATAAAGTAAAGATCCCTTTTCACGCCTTTAGGCGTATCGGGTATATGGGAACAGCTTCCAGATTTTTACAAACCATCGGCACTAGGTGGGTAATGTGGTCAGCATTATGCCGGCCGTCTTTACTTCCCCAGGACAGCCATCCTGGTACCCATTTTAGGCTGGGTCGATCTGTGAAGCCCTATACCATGATAAAAATCCACGCAGCCAGCAGTGGGTTTCGGTCGCAGTACGCTGGAATTACGAGTCGGATTCACAACACCTAAGCCATGGACGCCACATTTGGGCAGTAATTTAAATAAGAATGGGGGAAATGACAGAGATCTTAAAATATAACTCCATGTGTTTGTAGGTCTGTCTATAAATGACTGTCTTCTTGTTCTGCCTGTTGGTCTGCTTCCATTAGACTCTTTTGTGTATGCAGTTTATGCCTATCTGTTATCAGCCACTCTCTCTATATTAGTACAGTGACCTTTAAACATATTAAATACAGACTGGCTGGCTCTGCACAACTTGGTGGAATGGTGGAATACTGATACATGATAAGGCAGACGTGGTTGGTGTCTTGTGGGAGAGCGTGTACAGTTCGGAGAAGCAGATGGATCACCACAGTCTGGTGAGATTGATGCAGCGGGAAGTGACGAGAGGTTCTAGCAGATGCTCGAGGCTCAGAGGAAAGGCAAGACGGACGTTTAATCAGAATACTACTGGCACCTTTAGTATCGGAACTCTTTGCTGGCTGCTGAAGATGTGGTTGGAGCGCTTATGGGAATGCCCCGAGTGCTGTGATGTCGGTTCTTGAATCAAATCAAATCAAATCATTAAACATATGAAATACAGTTTATTTTGATGTAAGAATTTTGAGCATAGTATCCCAGTCCAATCATCTGGGAGTTCCAAATCAGCTACCGGCATTTTGGTAGCAGACCGCTTTGCTTTGATATTGACAATAGTTTGAGTGTCATATTAATCAGAAAGCTATGGAAAACTACTGAATTGTTTAGTAAAATCACACAACAGTCTCTGAATGCTTGGGTTGGTCTGTGAGGTTCTCACAAAGATGTGAATCTTACTAAGATGAGGAAGTTTAATGTTTTAATTCACTATATCATTTTATTGTTTTAATTCACTATATCATTTTATTGTTTTAATTCACTATATCATTTTATTGTTTTAATTCACTATATCATTTTAATGTTTTAATTCACTATATCATTTTATTTGTATGTACATGTTTACAGGACCCCTTTCTACACCTTCATGTGTATTGAGCATATAGTGTTAGACCTATATTTTATAGACAAATAGGCACTCTGTGGGTGATGTGGTCAGTATCATGCCGGCTGCCTTTACTTCCCAGGACTTTTACCTGGTACCCACTCAAAGCTGGGTCAACCTGAGAGCCAGTCATTTTTTTTTTTAAAGTCCAGCTCTGTTCACATTTGAACCCACGACCTTCACATCTACAGATGAGCATCTAACCACTACACTATGGCATATTTACCTATGCATATTTACATCTCATCTGATTTTTCATTTTGTTAAACTCAGCTCTCCAACTGATCACACTTCCAAGGGCATCAAGTACTCCTAATCGGCTGGAAAGGTCAGCCAGCACAGGCAATTGTCCAGATTTTCTTGACGACGACATCGATGCTCTAATAGCGCAGTTTATTATTCCTCCGCCTCCATCACTGTCAGGTACACCCACAGACACTCACATGCATAATGGTGATTTGAGGCAGATGAAAGTAACAAGTGATGCCAGCTTGTCCGTTTCTGATAACAACGACAATATTGATGACCTGGCCCACCTCATCATACCTCCACCACCACCGAATATCGTAAACAGCTCCCAGTTAGAATACATTTCAGTTGTGCCTCCTGTTCATGATACAACAGCCTCTGGACAAGATATTGAAAAATCATCGGGTAAACATGTATTCCGGCACAAACGTTCTTCTTCTTTGGATGTAAACTTCTTACGCAGCTCAAAAGATCAGTTTGATCCCAAATATAGGAGTGTTTCTATGGATGACAATAAAAATATCATTGATGCCACTTCAAAGAAAATGTCATCCTTAGATACTAACGGAGTCACTGGAAGTGATTCTGTCAATGGCATTATGGGTAATTCCCCTGCATCAGTATCAGAAAAGCTTCATAGTTTGTTGCAGTCATTGCCTACTTTTGCCAAAGAATGTGATCAAACAAACTGTAACGCTGATGTGGCAAAAACCGGTCCACTTCAGATTCATCGCAGCTCTTCTTTAGACTTAATTACTACACAAACCAAACAACGAGATCCTAATTCTATTCCAATTTTTACCAGAAGTTCATCATTAAGGCTCAAATGGCCACCGTTAAGACCACGAAGTCAAAGTTGCGAACCTGTTGCTTCAGACAGCTTCACCGCTAGAAAACCTGACTCACACACTATGACAAACTTGTCAGGTACATCAATAAAATCTAGCTCTGCTAAGGATTTGGATAAACCATCCCATGGCTCAGAAAGTTTTGCTACTATGAAAGCAAAACTGAAAGACTACAGGGATTATCTGCTGAGCAAAAGTAAATCAAGTGCCTCCAAGAAACACACAGCAAGCCCCGACTCAAAACAGAGTTTAGAATCTGGATTACCACATCGATCAAACTCCTTCAGTAAACTGTTCAGCAGAAAAGGATCTAAATCAGATGAATATGGTTCTGCAAACCTGGCCTCGGCAGACGATAATTGGGAACTAAAAGAAGCGAAGCCAACTTCATCGATGTCACTTACTGGAGAATTAGTGGTGGAGCAAAGAGAAGAAAAACGTGTGCCTGTGGTTCGAGATGCTTTAGGTCTGAATCGGCCAACTCTTCGACCTCTCTCCAACACTCTAAACCAGGTAAGTTTTGCAGCAGTTTCCAAATCACATTATGTGTTTATACTCCATTTTTTTTTTTATAATTCCCATATTTATATGCCTGTTGAAGCTTCTATCCCATTTATTACATCCTCAAGCTGATGCAAAGAATTCACCCATACACTTTACTTTACTGTTTAAACATATCAGAGTAGCATGCTTTTCTCTGTTAAATAATTTAATAAATTGAATTTGTAGTTTCCTTTTTGTTTTTTAAAGTACTGCTTCCTGTATTTTTTAAATTTAAATTCTTTTTCTCAGTGATTTAAAATTTTTAATAATTTATCTATTACAACATTTATTTCTAATTTATCAGCTTCAGATAGCTAGCAGCAGGTTGTATGTGGTTGATTTTTTGATTTTTTCTTAAGAGGAATTGAAATTAGAATATAATCAATCTACTCTGTCACCAGGATGTTGCAAACTTTATAAAATAGACCAGCTTTCTTTATGAAGGTTTTTATTTTCCCTGCAGTTATTTGTTGAATAATAATAGACACATTTCTTAAAAGTAAATGTGTGATTCTAATCAGTAATAATATGTGATTCTGAACAACGTAACTTTGTGGTTTTTAAATATATGTATAATTATTTATTTAAACTTTATATGCCTTTTATTTTTTTTAAATAATAAAATTACTTTTTTGTTTGGGGGTATTGAATTGTAGGTAATTTAAAAAATTAGACATGAGACTGCAGAACATGACTGGGTATATTCTTTAAAAAAAAGGAGATACTGACAATAAACTCCAGAAACTGCGTTAAAAAGTGGATATTAGTAAAATGATTGCAGTGAAGCTGATATCAAGAAGTAACTAACAAACTTTGGTAAAAGCTCAAAGAGAAGGGGATGGGAGAAGATACCTACAAACTCAACCAGTCTTTATCAGTTTGCAAAACAGAAAAACCTAATAAAAGTGCGAATCATATTTCATCTTACTGTGTATTTTTAACTCCATGCAGACTTTGTTGGCTGTTTAATTAGCCTGCTGGATTTTTCCTTGCATGGGACTGTGTTTCCTTACTGTACTTTCTTAAATGGAAGCCACTGTGATGTAGCTGCTAGATCTGCAGATATGAAAGTCTTGGGTTCAAATCTGAACAAAGCCAGACCATTTTTTAATGACTTTGGCACCCAGGGCGACCCAGTCTTAAATAGTTACCAGGTAAAGTCCTGGGAGGTAAAGGTGGCCAGCGTGATGTTAACCACATCATCCATCAAGTGCTGATTGGTCTGTAAAATATTGGTCTATCCTGTAAGCCCAATACTCCTGCATGCATGGGGGAAAAAGTCCTTTACCAACTTTCTGAAACATCTACAATTGTGGACTTTGTTTAAATATTCCAGATTGATGTTTATACCAATACATACCTGCATTTGCATTTTCAGACGGCTAAGGAAGATGTTGAAAGTAAAAATAATCAAACAATTAACAGTAATTCTGATAGCAAGGACGATGAGGAGCAGGTAACGGCCTTGCATATGTCAGTGCCTTGCATGCTTGGGCGGTGTTGGATATAAACTGCATACTGTAGTAATCACTTTAGGTTCTTTATTAATATCTTACCCCCAGATGACGTCACAGGACAGTCCAACATTTTATTGGATGGTAAGACTGGGTTTCCTTGCTTTCTGGTGCTTTTAACGACCCCAAAACATATAGAACTGGCCCTAACTATAACCTGCCTAGGTCCCACGAGAGAGTGCAGTCTAGGTCCCACGAATGCCTGCAGCCTATCTACCACTCCCTGAAATATTAGACTGTCCTGTGACCTGTGGATTTCCCCTGTTTGGGGTAGGATATAAATAAAGCACCCAACTTTATGGCTTGTCACTCAATTCCGTCATTTAGGGTTCTGACGGTGTTGTAAATTGTAACATTTAATGATTATTTTTATAATCTTTCAGGGCTTTTTCAGATGTTACACACACTTGCTTTTGTATAGTTGCACAGCCATTATTCAGTGTAAAATGTTTAACCTGTTTGGCTTATCTAATGACAAACAGGCAATAAAATTCAACCGAAATGGGGACATGTTGAATGTTCGGGTAGAACCGCACATGAAGGGTGTTACGTGCGGAGACTTGATTGCTGACGTGCAGAGCTTCATGCTGATGTGTGTGGTACCAAGATGAAATAGGCCAAGTAGGGGTAAAACAGTAGTTACTTCAATGCTTTCAAAAGGTAGAGCTCGAACGCTATGCGTTAAGTTCCAACGGTTGTATTGATATATACAATCAGCAATGATTAACACAAAGGATACATATGCAAGTAATAATCAACTCGTTCAACCAAAGCTCGCTCGTACATCCATGTAATGATATGTCCTCACGATAGGTCGCAGTCCGACCTTGAGATCCAGACGATTTACTTTCTCCTCGGACAAGTCCGAATTAAGCAATGAAAGTATACCGGCTTACTGCCGAGAATGTAGTGCTCACCAGCTTCCTGCTGAGGTCTATCTTGGAATCCCGGGGTAAAACGTCCTCAAGGATCCAACTTTATATAACGTTTGCTTCCGTGGGATCCCGGGGTAAAGCGTCCTCAAGGATTCCCACGTCCGTCTCCTTCGGACTATAAACATCAACTGTTTTGACGTCTTATTTGCTCACTCCGTACTGGTGCGTTCTGGTGCAAATTCGCACGCGACAAAGGGGTAGATAGCTTTGGTTCTACGGAAAGCCGTGGGCGTCCTCTCAACTATGGATAGTGCATATATGTAACTGTTATATGCGTATATTTACTGTACCGAAGTGGCACTTTGTGTCACCGGGTGTTTATCGCTTGTGTGATGTCCTGGTGGGGTACAACCTTCCCACCTACCTGCCTCAGCAGCCGACAAAGAGTTGACATGCTAATAATAGAACTAGTTATTAATTGATTAAAAGCGCCAGTGTTTCTCCTTCAGACTCTTTGCTCACGCCGCCCCCCCCCCCTCTCTTCTCCCTGTTGAATAAGTCTTTCAGTGCACAGATTCTCTGTATGTTCTATCGCACTGTCCATTAGATCATAGAGAGTCTCCACCACGTCCGCTGTATCATAAAGTAGCTCACCACCCAGACGGACAGCAGCAGCGAATCTGTCAGCCTGCTCGTTACCTCGCACTCCTGAATTTCCTGGACAGAAAATTCCTGATATGCTTTTGATCTAAGAAAATATGAGCAAGCAGAAAGAGTACAGAGGAGCGGCTGGCCGAGTGGTTAAAACATCGGGCTCTTATGCGGGAGACCCAGGTTCGACCACTGATAAGGTGACGGAGTTTTTCTGTCAGTGGTAAAAATTAAACATCCTGACTTGCACAGTCCGTGGTGACTGCACTAGCCGTGTAGCCCTAAATCCCCAGGCTCGCGACCTCTGTCTACACCGCCCTAACAAGTGGTAAAACAGTAGTGACAGTTAGAAAGAGTACCAGTAAACAAAGGAGTACCAGTAAACAAAGGATTACCAGTAAACAAAAGAGTACCAGTAAACAAAGGAGTGCCAGTAAACAAAGGAGTACTAGTAAACAAAGGAGTACCAGTAAACAAAGGAGTACCAGTAAACAAAGGAGTACCAGTAAACAAAAGTACCAGTAAACAAAACAAAGGGCCAGTGACAAATAGGGCATAGGATGTTAGATCTAGAGTTTTATACACCAGTCGGACCTGGATGAGTGCTATGGTCAACATCATACCTGCCACCTTTATTTCCCATGGCATTTCCTCACACTTCAGATTGCATTGACCAGAAAGCTAAGGTGAGTTATAAAACAATCCGCCTGGTGCAAATTCCAACCGAAGACCTGCGGGCCAGCAGGCACGCGTCTAACCAATCCACTACCGTTGCTCCATATAAACTAACAGATCAGATGGTTCGGTCATGTAATGCAATTATTACATGATAACATCCCAACAATAAGTTGTGCATTTCATTGCTGCAGAAACAGAGCAAGGAATTGACTCTGCAGAGGAAGGGTTGATGGGGTTATGATGGAGTTATGACAGTCTGCAGATGTCGCCATCTTTGAAACATATTCCACTGTTTCCACCAGATGAATCGTCTCACCTTGCAGCTGAAAAACAGGAGGGAGCGTTCAAGAAGAAGGAGGAGGTACAACTATTGTAATTTATATCACACTGTTCAGGTTTTATTTTGAAGACCCCTCTTTAACAACACCTCACACATCACTACTAGGGGATGCTGATCCGCTAATCTGCTGAGATGCGAAAGGAACATAGAGGTCATTACCTGTCTGCTTGATAGATAGGGTTGCTTCCGGCAGAGTGACAAGCTTCACTTGGAAGGTCACGGGGAGGGAGATTACTTTGGATCTTTTCTCACGGCGATTCCTGCATGGTGGGGAATTAACAGGCAGACAGACTGGCTGGATCTGCACCACTTGGTGGTGAAATGATACATGACAAGGCAGATGTGGTCAAGGCCCTTTGGGAACATGTAACGAAGTCAGAAGAGAAACAAGATTATTACAGCCTGGAGAGAATCTGGCAATCTGGTGAGAGAATGACGCACATGGGTGTGACTAGAGGGTCTGGTCGGCTTACTACACTCAGTGGAAAAGCAAGACGGACATATAACCAAACTACAACCGGTACCATTAGTATTAGAACTTGGCGCTGGCTGCTTAAAATGGGAATGGAGCGCATATGGGAATGCCGCGAGTGATGTGATGTCAATTCCTAGAAATATTTTTGCGATAATTGCCTTGTTAAGTGTCACGCTTTTAATAATACAAATAACCATACAGCACTGTCACTGACATAACTAATTAAAACACTATCACTGACATAACTAATCAAAACACTGTCAATGACATAAGTAATTAAAACAATGTCACTGACATAACTAATTAAAACACTGTCACTGACATAGCTAATCAAAACACTGTCACTGACATAGCTAATCAAAACACTGTCACTGACATAGCTAATCAAAACACTGTCACTGACATAAGTAATTAAAACACTGTCACTGACATAACTAATCAAAACACTGTCACTGACATTACTAATTAAAACACTGTCACTGACATAACTAATTAAAACACTGTCACTGACATAACTAATTAAAACATGTATAACCTCATTATCGACATTCCGTTGTACGTGACGTTAGGCTGCCAGTATAGTCTTTCATTCTGTTCCACCCTGCTCAATCTTTTCTTCGTCTTCTGCGATCCTTCTGTCAGAAAAAGTAAATCACGAGGCCATTAGCCTGTATGAAAGCTATCGTGGAGTCCATATATTCTCCTGTACCATACAGGCGTGACTTTTTCCAGGGGAGGTTGTGGTCAGCTAGCCAGGCTGCTACAGCTGACTGACTGACTTTCTATCCCACCAGGACATCACACAAGCGACAAACACCCGATGACACAAAGTGCCACCATGCGGATAAGGATCGCCGTGGAGAGGTCCCAGAAACCGCGTTCAGACAATTGGCCATATTTATGGCCTGCCTATATTGCGGCCCCTGGAAAAAGCCAGAGTAGGGCTTCAAATAAAGAAAAATTTCATCCTAAAAAGGACGTAAGGGGTTTTGTAGAATAACCATTTAAGGCTGGGAGCCGATGTCATTTTTTTCGGGTTCGAACCCACGACTTTCGAATCGGCAGGCGAGCATCTAGCGGCTACACCACGGCAGTTCCCCCAGGCATAATAGCCTCATGATTTATGCGGGCCCGGCTGTTAACAGCAGGCTATGAAACTAATGTAATGTCACCTGTCTTCCAGTGGGTCGTATCCTGTTTGCCAGATGTGGGTTTATAACTGGAATACTTGGTGTATAATCTGAAACAGCCAGTGTTTTAGTTTTTAGTTTTTTTTCAACACTAATTATATATAGCAATGAACAGGAATATTTTATTCTGTCCTACTGCGTATAGTGTGAATATCGCAGCTAGATGTAGTTTCCTGTCTTTTGTTAGTTGTAGGAGTGCAGAGAGCGGACAGCGGGTGCTACGGAGGTGGAAGTCCAACAATTCATTCACGACAATTCACGCCCAGGTGATCTGATTATCTATACCACGGCTAGCTCCAGCTATAAGGCCGTTCAGGTCAAATGGGAATTCCCGTTTTTGTGAGGCTGGCGTGGTAACAATTGTTATCGAGTAGATTTATACACAAATTGAACTACAGTTTATTTAATTTGCAGCATGTGTTATTGAATGAATTGTCATCTTGAAGAGAAATATTTTCTAATAGCCCATTTATTTATCTTCAAAATAATAATTCATTCAAACTGCCAAGGTAATTTTACGTGCGCAACAACACACAAGGCGTCCGATCTTGCTATCCAGAGCCCAGTGGAAATTATTAGGAGTTCACGTGAAAAAAAAATCCCAGCCTTCACCGGGATTTGAACCTGGGACCTTCAGCGGGTGTCATACCTCGAGACCACTCAGTTCCGGGATTTGATTGTGTGGGATTTTCAGCCAAGGAATGGTTATTTGGGTCACTGGGTGTTAATCTAT